TCTGTCTGACAAGCGCACTTCGCAGTGCCGAAACACCCCTCCCCAGCAACGAAACACCACAACCCAGTGAGTGCCGCATACAATCACAGTCAGAACAAAATAAGCTCCCACTTCTTCTCACTCCGACGCAAATGTGCACGCATGCACATGCACATCCATTTATGCTCCCATACATCGTGAAACGCAACAATATCCACAAACGCTCCACGAAGATGTAGTGGCGTCGCTTACTTCAGACTTGCCACAAGTTGTAGTGCTTGCTGAACCTCGCATTTTATGAATCTTAGTTCCTTGGTGTTTGCACAGTTCTTGCCAAGACAGCGGACGATCGCCACGCGAGAGAAGCGTTTGCCACGAGGTGGCCGTAGACGCGTGCTTGCACACTGCTCACCTCTGTTTGGCTCTCACGGCGCTTACCGTTCTTGCAACCACGGCGTACGACTACATGCTCGTAGATATGAATGAGTATATAGATGTGCATAGTTTCTTGAATATCCGTGCATCATTTCGAACAAGTGGCTGTGAATACTATTAAATGCTGAGCACAAATGATCGCGCAGTCACTGCTTTCTCCAACTGTGTACTGCACTGCAGATCCGCTGTTTCGCGCGTTCAGTGAAGCCGTTTGCAATTTCCGACTCTGTTTCTTAATTGTATGCCGCAACGCAGAAACACACTCGCTCCTAACCAAAGAAGAATGTTGTCAAGACAAAACGAGCTCCGACATCGTCTCAACTTGCAACTACATGAATGTGCATGCCTGCATATAAACATCCATGCCTGCCACCGAAGTGAAACGTGAATTTGCTTATATGAGTGTGCTAAGCAAATGATATTACCGCAGCCACTGCACCTTTTTCTTTTGGAAACAAGCGAGACCCCGGACGCACAGACGACCTGCCGTAATACTGCAGCCACGATCATGTGAACCTAGAATACTGGCCCAGAGCAGCCGCATACCCTGAGCACGCCTCAGAGCCGCTGCTCATGTTGCACACCACTGACCTCTGCGCACCTCCCCAACTGTCGGCAAGGCTGTGCGGATACTTGCTGGGC